ATTGAATAAAATAAGAGGAGCGCAATTTTTTTTTATTAGAACAGAACAAATGGAAAACTACAATTTACTTACAACAATTGCATGAACGCTCTTGATTTGGGCGGGAATTCTTTTGCAAATTTTAAGTAATAAAACCTAGTAGAAAATTAGTAATGCGTATTCATATTAATTTTCCAATGTTAATTAAAATTTGAGTATCATTTTATTTTTTTCTGATTTCTGATTTAACTAATTTATTAATAAATAGAGAAATTTACCAATTTATTAATAAAATTGATATAAATAAAATCAATTAATCAAATCTATCAAATTTATAGATATATAGCATTTTATAATAATATTTAATAGAAATTCTGATGAGGAATTATAATAATGGATGTGTAACTTCATGCTAATTTCTATGTTGATGATCTGTACTATTCATCCATTGAATTTTCTATATATTTTAAAATTCAGAAAATTGTTTTACTAAAAATATTTTTTTTCATTTTATTTAAATAGACATTCAGAATGCATAGCCTTCTATGTGATGATGTATCTAATAATTTAACAAAATCCTATTTCATGCGGTTTATTACCCCTTTGAGGAATTAATTAATAAGAAAATGATTTTAGGTGGCAGGCGTTATTTAAAAACTTTCCGCAAAATCTTATACTGTTCTAGTGGCGCATGATAAACTCGTTGAAAGCATTTTCCACGTATTTATCTTGCCAGCATAATCGTTCTATAATAAATAAATTAGTATCGACAGGGAGTACTTTTTTGTTGTTAAATTATAAAACTTTAGAACTCATCTTTATATGACAGGGAGCAGTTTTAAAAACAGCAATAGATTTACTCTTGCAAAAATGCAAATGAATTGATTAACTTCATATTTTAGTATGAATGTATTCCCTTAGTGATATAAATAAGTAATTTAATTTAAAAACTAACGTAAAAGCTAGAGCAGAGTTTGTTATATTCATTTTGTATTTTTGTAATGCAAAGTACACAAATTATATCCTACATGATAATAATGTTTTACATTCAGTATTTTCTGATGTTTGATCTAACAATAACATCCATTGAATATTAGATTTTCCTGTCTCCATTGTGCATTTGCAATTTGTAATAACATGAGAAACGCTCGGAATTCTTTTCAGCGTATTCAAGATAAATAAAAATATCAGTATTTTTATTTCAAATTAATGATGCTGCATCCAATAAATAGTCAGGTAGTTCAGTTTATAATATCTCAATAAAGAAAATGTATGTAATGCTACGCATTATGATCAATGTGTAATGTTTCAGTATGCATAATGAGGACTTGTGCAACGTTGACGATGTCCTTGTAGTGCGGGAGGCCGCGGGCCCTGGTTGTGCTCTTTACCATTTCGCGTATCTGTAGAAAGTACGCGGTTTACATTTAATGATAGTGCATAGTAGATTAAATGTCTACTTAACTATGACTTAACGTTCACCAGCGGCACGAACATTTTTCAATATATCGCTAAGCTGGCTGACTGACTGAATCGTTTTGTTCGCCGTGCGTTATGCAACGGAGAAAATGCATTTTTCAAGCATAAGATATTTCATTTGTTTCCTTATATGTACCTCGTGTCATATCCAAGTATCATCGATGCATGATGTGCTAGCAATAAATCATGGGTGTACTGTTATTAAGCAAAACGACTGAACTTAATAGGTACAAAATGACGTTTTCATAAGATGGAGATATTTATATCATTTTCTTCTAAAATAATGACTATAATATAGGTAAGACGGGGTATAAAAGTCCAATTTGACTTTGAACAGCTATTGTGAATACCAAACCAATTATATCACAACAACACATATCAAACAACTATCTGACTGTGTTCAGTAAAACCCCTAGCTAATTCATCATTGTTGAAATGTTTTTTCAAAACAAGAACATGTCACCTGCTCTTTTCTACCTCCGTAGGCGGAGAAATATCTTATTTTTAATTTTATAGAGATTTTACGAAATAATAACTACATTACTCAACGAATGCAAAATATAAGTTTAAAGGGTACATTTTTTTTACGGAAAAACACTGTATATAACCTTGATTTGGTATTTTGTCAGAAATATTTGTCAACAGAGTTGGGGTAACTATTTATTTAATTTATCTCTCATGAAGTTGATTTTTTTTTTAACTTAATTCACTTTTTTATATTCTATTTGTTATTGTTCACACCTGTGCCAGAGTAAAGGTTCAGTTGGTCTTTTTTACCCCACCCACGAGTTGGCTTATAGAGGTTGTATAAAAAAATGTTGAATTTAACTTAAAAATTATAAATCGAGTAAACTAAACAATAGTGCTTACAACAAAAAAAAACTTATAACGAAAGAAAATACTTTTGTTATGTATTTTCAAACATTGCCGTTTATTTCCTGATAGCGACTTTGCTTGATTTGGAGCGACGGCTGATTACTCATCTTTTTACCATTACTTTCAAATATTGTTGTTAATAAATTCTTTACTTTGCTTATACCATACTAAAATTAATCAAAGTTGATATATATTGGTGATGGGGAGCCATGGAGGGCTTTGGATTGTTTCAAAATAGTATTGCCATGATTAGACAAATGAGCCAGCCGTGGCGTAACCGGTAAGAAAGGTGGGCCAGCACAAACTTCTGGTCCCGGGTTCGATCCCAAATCTCAGCTAAGCTCGATATCAAGCAGTATGATATCAAATTTTTACTTGTGGTTATAGATCTCACATATCTCGAGTAAAGTAACCGATAAGGAATGTAGGTTGGAAAACACAGCTCAAAGAATACATAGTTAGAAAAATGACGTCTGCTTTTCTGACTATTTTGATGTCTCAAAGAGTTGATTATAAATTTGTCTCGGCTCCCCGCTCTTCTAATAAATACATCAGTTCTTGCGTTATCATTTTCTTTATGAATCATCTACTTTTATATTGCGCTGGCTAGTCAATAGTAATCATAATGCAAGAAATGGGTGCGCGATTCCATTATAAAATCGTAACGGATCGTGTTATAATGGGCATAGGACGCTGCGGGCACGGGCTGCAGTAGTGTTGCGCACATTCCGCGAGATTAGCCGGCCACTTTGTCCTCGATTCTCGTCTTGTCTTGTCTTGTTATTTCTCCGTTCACTGACTCAAATGTACATTTCAGAGATAACTACTGATATAATAACACCGGCGATGTTAATCAATGCACGATGTCATATAGGTAGCAATTTTCGAATACCTTATTTATTATTTATATAAGGGTCAAGAATGAATTGCAGACTGAATTTAATTCTGTATTAGTTATTGATGACAAATTAATCATTTGCCTTTTTATGCAGAATCGCAAAAAATATATAATTAATCTTGGAATCATTTATCAAACTAGGAGGCGACAGTCACTAGCCGCTGCCAACGCCTATACCCTCAGTATATGTATATATATATATATATATATATATATATATATATATATATATTAATTTGGAAATATGAACAAACAACACTCTTTTTTGCTAATTTACTCGATATACATTACAGTATATCGAGCGAAATGTAATGGATAACACATAATGCTAATAAATTATAAGACACTGATGATGAGACAAACCTAGTCTCGAAACGTTTGTGAAAATTATTATTTAATAAATTAGTGCAAAAAAGAGTGTTGTTTGTTCATATTTCCAAATTAATATCTATTATCCACTCAAAATACATTTGTTATATATATATATATATATATATATATATGTATTTGAAATCAGTAATTCGCGTTATTTTCATGTTTGAGGTGTTATTTATGACTATGTATAGGATAGAAATGTTATTTATAGTTACGAATCAAAACTTCAAATGAATAAAATTAGTAAAAATCAATTACAATAACCGAAAAATGATCAAAGTTTGGCCAAAGCTCTAAGCTGTACTTCAAAGCTCAAGTATTAATACCATCACCCGATATCTGATGAGAGTGTGCTGATAGATCAGAAATAGAAAATAAAATCAAATGATACTCAAATTTTAATCAAAATTGAAAAATTAATATAAATGCGCTTTACAAAATTTCTTACTATGTTTTGTTACTTACAATTTATAAAATAGTTTGCGCAGAAATTAAGAGCCTTCATACAATTTAATTTAATAATAAAATAATAATAATTTAAATTCAATAATAAAAATTAATCACAATAACCGAAAACTCTAGGATGTTTTACCAAAACTCTAGGACGTACTTCAAAGCTCATATTTTTCAAACTACACGGGATTATTTTTTTTCTAATGATTAGTATCAATAATATCACTCCGTTTGGGCTTGACGTTGATTTCTGGGACACTCTGTATATGAAATAAAACAAAAATTTATTCATCAAATCTAAGATGAGTTGAAACGAATTTACCCAACATGAATACAGAAATTAATTTAAAAGTTGATTTAGTATTCTGAACATTGGTCAGAAAATGTGAGTTTTTCATACAAATTTTAAGTTGCGTTAATTGTATCACGCTTAGCTCTGACAAGTGTCATGGGTGTATTCAGGAGGGATCGAATATGAAATTTCGGCTACACGTTCCTTGCGTCCCCCTGTGATCAAATTGTGTAATGGATGGCGGAAATAAGTATTATACGCCTCCAAGCCCATATATGAAGCACATCTGTGCTGCATATATTTGATCATGGATTTAACAACTAATGGCGGATTAGGCGAATTCATTCTGAAATGGCAGTGAGCAATTTGCAGTGTAAACATTCAACTTTTTTGTTATGGGTAATAGAACTTTTCGCTCAATTACTTGGGGTGTTGCAACCCAAAAATTATGCGAACGCAATGCATTGAATACTGTTATACAACAAATCCGACTCTATCTATACTTCTGTATATTTATATATATAATATCTAGTTCATTAATTTTGTCTAAATTAATGAAATTCTACATTCTAAATTTTACTCTATTAAATATTTTAAACGACATTATTCGCACCGGAATTTAATACGAGTGAATTATATTTGTTCTAGGTTTTATTGTCAGGCAGCACGCCCGCCGAGTACGGCGAGATTATGGTTGATCCGGGCAATGCGCTGTTGCCAGACACGATTTTATCTCCTAAACAAGACTTCTTATACGTTCTATCCACGGACAAGGTAACATTTTCAGTCTAGATATCATAATAATAATAAATACTTACTTTCGTAACAATACATAAAATGCAATCTGCCGTTTCTATCTTTAATTTTATCCATCTCAGATATCAAAGGTAAAAGTGGAGCACTGCAATAACTTTTCGAATTGTTCGGCATGCTTGGAGTCCCGGGATCCTTACTGCGGCTGGTGTTCGTTGGAGAAAAAATGCACCGTTCGCAGCGCCTGTCAGAAAGCTGCTCATAGCTCACCGCGTTGGCTCTCGTTAGGCACTGGACAGCAGTGCATAGATTTTGAACAAGTACTACCAGATAGGATACCTATTAGCCAGATGACCACGGTAAACATATATTTTAACAGTCAATCATACGCATCTTGCACGATGAATCTTAATACATATGCTTAATATTTTTAGGTCAAGTTAACTATTCGCACGCTTCCCGAATTACCAGCTGGCGCAAAGTATCGCTGCGTATTTGGTTCTAGCGATCCTATCGACGCGGCTGTAACTCCCTTTGGCTTAACTTGTCATACGCCCAGCGTTGCTAGTCGACCTAATATACCATTTAATATGGACCATGTATTAGTCCCGTTGTCTGTGAGATCTTCAGAAACAAACAAGGACTTTGTATCTCGCAACTTTGCCTTCTATGATTGTTCGCGACACACCACCTGCACTGAGTGTGTAAAGAGCCACTGGGCATGCAACTGGTGCGTCTACGAAAACAAATGCACTTATAATACGTCCACGTGTAGGAATTCAAATATAATCAGCGGTGATAATGTGAGTATATATATAATTATTGATTTATTATAGTACTTAAAATGCTTATTATTCTTTAACATACTTTCAGAATCCTTCTGAATTATTGCTACAACATGGTTCAAGATTTTGCCCCAGATTTATTAAAATGTCAGAACCAATATTACTGCCTAATAATGTACCCAAAGAAATAGTATTAGAAGTCGAAAACCTGCCGCATCCCCAAATAGGACACATGGGTTTTCAATGTGTAGTGGATATAGAAGGAGCTAACATGATTCTTCCAGCTAAGGTAGAACATAGCAAAAGGATAATATGCGACAAGACACCGGTAATTTCTAATTTCATACTTTTCAATATTGAATATTTAAATGCATGTAATTTAATTTTTACTTTCGATTAGTATTCATATGAGGCCAACACTGGTGAATATGAAGCAACTGTTAAAGTTGTCTGGAATCGGAACCATCATATTGATACTATTAAGGTGATTATATATAAATGCGACATTCAAGGTTCCTATAGAGAACATCCAGATTGCTCTCTTTGTAAAACTCGAAACGCTAAATATAATTGCACATGGTGTTCAAATACCTGTGCTTATAGCGAAACTTGCCTTCATACTCCTGCTTCTGAATGCCCAAAACCAAGAATTGATATGGTAAATATTATTTTTTATTCTAAATTATGGCAATATTTAGAAATATTTATGGGAATATTAAGAAATATTTTATTTATATTTTATTTTTAGATAAAACCACTGAGTGGTCCAATTGAGGGAGGCACATTAATAACTATAGAAGGCAGTAACTTAGGCTTGAAGGAAATTGATGTGAAAGGAAAAATTCGTATAGGAGATGTTCAGTGCGAACTTGTCAATTATGAAATATCGGTAAAAATTGAATGCTTAACTGGAATGTCTGATGGTGAATTAATTGCTCCTGTAGTAGTTGGCAATGAGGCAGGATTTACTGAATCCAGTGTTCAATTTAGCTATAAGGTAAAGACATATAAATTTTCTAATACTTCATTTCATCATTACTTTGTCATTTAGTCGGTCTATTAACCATATCTTAACAAAACTGACATCATCATACCTTTTTCTCTAGGACATACAACTTGAGGGACTTTACCCACCCTTTGGTCCTCAGTCAGGCGGAACACAATTAGCTATAACTGGACAATATTTAAATATTGGTTCTCGAATATTAGCGTATCTAGATGATCTAGTTTGCCACGTGAATGCGACTCAAGCGTCGAGCAGTCGTTTGACGTGCATAACTTCGAAGTCGCCGAATCCGCATATGATTCGTAAACTGACTTTATCCATCGACGGAGCCAATAGGACCTTATATGGAAATCCTTATAACTATACTGTAGATCCAACTATAATGGCAATTAAGCCATTGAAGAGTTTTATTTCCGGCGGACGAATGATTACTGTGCATGGTACAAATTTGGACACTATACAAAAACCTGAAATGGAAGTTTATTCAAATGAACCTAATCCCATTAATAAAACCATATGTACTGTTTTGAGTCCAAATCAAATGGAATGCCCCAGCCCAGCTGTTAATGAGATGTTCTATTCCTATGGTACGATAAGGAAAAGACGATCACATAAACAGGAGGCAATGAAGGTAAATATTTGTTCAAAAATATACTGTAGGATGCATATATTTTCAATAATTGATTTGGTGTTATTTATTTCAGCTGCAAGATGTACAGCTAATATACAGAATAGGTTTTATAATGGATAATGTAGATGCCGTAAAAGATTTGAACAAACATTTTCCAGATTTAGAAAAGGATTTAATATATGTTGACGATCCAAGATTCTTTGAATTCCCCAATCAAATAAAACTATATAAAGGCGATACATTAGTGATAGAGGTATAGTAATTAATTTTAAATATTTGTTGTATGTATGCAGACGTGCATATTAATTTTTTATTTTATTTTAGGGCGAGAATTTAAATGTGGCAAGCGATGAATCTGATGTAAATGTGACTATTGGTACTCAACCCTGTAATGTTACAAGTTTAGCTATGTCACAGTTAGTTTGCACTCCTCCAGAATCACAGCCTGATGACACGGATGAAAATGGGTATCAGGTATGATATAAGAATTTTTTTGAAGTACTTGTTTTGAAATATTCAATATTTTTATAAATGGAAGGAATGTTTATTATCATATTCTATTGCAGACTGATTTTGGTTTGCCGTTGGTGGTCGTACGAGTGGGTAGAACCCTCCGTTTTCCGATCGGTTACATCCGTTATGAAGTTATCAAGCCATACGCTTTTCCACCAGAAGCAGTTGCCGGCATAGCGGCTGGTACGTTCTTACTGGTGATTTTGTTCGTCGTTGTACTCGTAGTGTACAGACGAAAAAGTACACAGGCTGAGCGCGAGTACAAACGCATACAGATACAAATGGATACACTCGAAAGCAATGTTCGATCTGAATGCAAACAAGGTAAGAATTTTAAGCTATACACATTTCTTATATAGGGAACTTGCATGATTAGATTAGCTTTTATGCCCAGTTGTTTCGTGATATTTTCATCATTTAAATGGCTAACTATCTCAGTAACCAATAAATTGCTGATGTTTGGAAAATTATTAGATGAAGCAATTTATTACAGTACAGTGATTTTAGAGGCCTATAAAATATTTTTTCACATTTGTTTTAGTAAAGTTCTTTGAACATAAAATATTATGCAAGTTCTCTGTTTTTTATTTTTCTTCTTCATATTGTAATATATTATACTTCTTAAAATAAATTTAAATTCTCTTTTAAATTTAATTCACTGTGATTAAATAACTTCTGTAAATAAACACTCTATTAATTTATGTAGGGAATGATTGGAACCCTTTCCGACGTTTTACGTTATTTGCGAATTCAGGTTTCTCTTGCTGATATAAAAAGAACAATATAAAGGAAGATTTGCATTTTATTGTGTTCATTAAACAATATATTCAAGAAAATTCTTTTAGTACTTGCAATTAGTATTTTTTAAATTTTTGATAAATAATGATCATGAATATTTAATTTAAGCAACTATTATGGGTATGAGTTGATATTTAGCCATATAAATGACGCTGTATATTTCTAAATATATATATATATATATATATATATAATTTGATTTGTGAAATTACCATTTGACCATTACCATATTTACCATTTTCTCATACAAACACATCCGAGTGTGCTCATTTATTTTATAAGAGTAAAACGTGTGAATGATATACAATGGTGCCAATCGTTCCTTATATGTATGTATTTATTTTCGTATATTTTAAAAATATATATTGCATAGTTTCTTTACAATATGCATTTACTTATAATTATAATTTCTGTATTTCTCATTGTTTTCATTATAGCAGTCTCGTATTTATTCAATTTACTTTTGTTTTTGATTTATTTTGATCACAGTAGTGTCTTATCAAGTTTATAGTTGTTCCGACATAAGTATTTTTTATATTGTTTTTTTTTTTAAGTATTTTGGTTTCCTTTCGTTTTTTTGGTTTGTTGGCACCTTTATTTAGTTTGGTTTTGTGTCTTGCATTCGGGTTTACTTAGCGTTTGCCTGTGCAGCTTTCGCTGAGCTACAGACCGACATGACGGACCTCACCGCCGATTTGGAAACATCAGGAATCCCAACTTTGGACCATATGAACTACTTGATGAAGGTATTCTTTCCGGGAGTCTCTGATCACCCTATACTCAATGTGCCAAAGGTAAATAATAAGGAAATTTATAATTTATGTATGATATACTAATTTAAGGGGGAAGCCTGCTTTAGACGCTTCAAAAAATCGCTTTTTTGAGGAATTTTTAGATAAGGAAATAAATATTTTATTGAAACTTTCAGGTTTTATTGTTATATATTTCAACATTCTTCTCAATTTTTTTCATTAAAATATATGACATAATGTGCCCGGTATAAGCATTTTGCCGATGCGCCACGAGCGTGCATTTGTCATTTGGCGGGAAAAATGCAGGTCACAATTTCCATCCGAACCAAAAAATCAAAACAAATATACATTTTCAATAGTATAGATTCTACTTGAACCTTAAAAAATAGAGAATAAAATGAGAAATTCTCCAATTTTTCGCAGCTTCAAAAAAATCATGTTTTTTTATACAAAATTTCACTTTAGATTATTTAAAAAGTGGGTAAATTATAACTTTTTTAAAAGTTTTTTTTAGGTTCAACTAGAATAGAATTTAATCCTATAAATACAATGAATTTTGCCTCGTTTCGATAGGACGTTTAGTTTTTTCGAAGAATCGAAAAAATTCAAAACCAAGAAATCGCGCGCCGAAGTTTTTGTTCCGCTTGTATACATGCTTGACGATTGCTCACTCTTTCTTCTGTAATTCCGAAAATAATTTGAATTTGTTTCTGAAATTTGAGGGACATATTCTTGCCCAGTTTCGGAAAACATTTTTGCAATAAAAAAATTGATTTCTTTTAAGCCTCTAAATCAGGCTCCTCCCTTAAACAATAGCTTAAATCACAAGAATAAGTTTGTCTGATTATGAGAGAGATAGAAATAACTGCATAGTGCATTTGTTCCTTATTCGAATGTTTATTCATTTTCTACTACTAATTTCAAAATTATAATCTTAAATATATATTCACAATATTTCTCTTAAAGAAGGCGAAACAGCGCTAAACCGTGTTATCTTAACATCTAAATAATAGGATTAGAGAAAGCTGGATAGAATATTGGTCATGTCTTAAATTTGATAACTGTATCATTGATAAAAATAAAAATAAAACATTTATTTCACACAAAATTAAAAAATGATATTAACGTCTATAGCGTTCTATTCTGCATTTCCAATTTTTTGCAAACTAAAGTTTGCATTTTTTTTTTGTACTTTGAGATTATTGATAAAGCATATGTAAGAGTAAATATAACGTTGATGAAGTATCTATAATATATAACTTCTTTCAAACTTTAGCTCATTTCGACAAATTCGTCTATAATTTCAGTCATGCTGGTGTCAATGTATTCTCTTCAAAATTATTACTATCAATATTTTTGTTTTCTGCTTGCCTGGTCAATTGCTTCAGATCATCATTAGAAAGACTAGCTGCAGTTTTCTTTTAAATATTTCTTTGGCATCTTTCACATTTATCTCGTCTAAGCTGGTTTGTTTCGCTAATTTCACATACACTGTATTATTAATATGTTTAAATAAAATAAATCATATAACTTAAAGAAAGACAACATGTATGTGGGATCTTGTGAAAATTGTAAATCTTCCAAATTGCAAAAAAATAATCTAATTAAATGTGTTTGCAATCAGTATATTATTATGTGATTTAAATATCATAAGATTAATGATCATTGTTTTCTGTGTTTAATGAATTAAAAATAGAAAAATTCAATTTTCATATAATACTTTTCCAGGTACATATGAATCTACCCAGAACAAATTATGATACTGCAATGATACAGTTTGAGCAATTGATTAGTAATAAATGTTTTATATTAACATTTATTGAGACACTGGAGGCACAGAAGTCTTTTAACATAAGGGATAAGTGAGTATTTTAACAACTTCATATATTAATCAATCGGCTTAACAACTAAAATTGACTAAAAATATTTAAATTTATAGGGTTAACGTTGCGTCATTATTGATGGTTGTACTTATGGGAAAAATGGAATATGCTACAGATATTTTAAAATGCCTTTTATTAAGGCTCATAGATAAATCTGTTGGGACTAAACATCCTCAATTAATGTTGAGAAGAACAGAAAGTGTTGTAGAAAAAATGCTTACAAACTGGATGGCTTTGTGCATGTATAATTATCTCAAAGAGTATGCTGGTTCTTCTTTATTCTTGTTGTTTAAAGCAATTAAACATCAAATTGAGAAAGGACTAGTAGACGCAGTGACACATGACGCACGATATTCATTGTCCGAAGAACGGTTGCTGAGGGAGCAGATTGAATACAGTGTTGTGGTATGTATGCTAACAATGTACACTAACTATTTTTAAAATAAATAATGCATTTAAGGAGGAATTTATATTTTATTATATAAATAGTAAAAGCTTCTTATTCATGCTTCCTTTATTTTTGTCTTTACTATTAGTGGCTAAAAATTTCTTTATTTGCGAATCATGTGAGTACATACCTGTTGAAAAACAGACTTAAAAGAGCTTTGGAAATGTGACCTTCAATTTGAAAAATGTTAGTGAAGGTTTAAGAATGACAAATGAACTCTGAGATTACTTTATGAACTCATTTCTACGCAACGAAGTGCATCAGCATCATAATTCATCACAATGTTCAAAAACTTTAATAAAACTTTTTTTTTTAAACTTAGTAACTTATGCCCTATAAATAAATAGATTGCATTCAAGGTTTCTTCATTCGTAGGATATTTTTGAAACATATCACCTGTAAATTAAAGGCTTTTTAATGAATATGTATATATATGATGTATATATATTAATTATTGCAATCAATATAATGTTTGCAACTTTTTAGACTCTGCAAATTCAACAAGATGACTTAGATGAAAAAGTTCAATGTAAAGTTCTGGATTGTGATACTATTTCCCAAGTGAAATCTAAGATATTAGATGCTTTGTTCAAGAATACTCCGTTTTCAATGAGGCCATCTATATATGAGGTTGATTTAGGTAATTGAATAACAAAATTTATTTTATTTATACAATACTTCTGTGAAAGATGTAAAAACTCGATTTTCTTTTATCAGAATGGAGGCATGGTCGGGGTGGCCATTTGACTTTGCAAGATGAAGATTTAACCACGAAAACAATTGGCGGATGGAGGAGGTTGAATACACTTGCTCATTATGGTGTAAAAGAGTCGGCTGTGATGTCGCTTATTTCGAGACAGAACGATAGTTTTTCTAATTGTAAACAACCTTGCCAAAATTGTAAGATAATCCACCAATTAACATAGATTTTCTATTTACTATATCTACTAATGATACATTTTAAGATTACAAAACTCTATTAAAATTCAACTATTCGGTAATAATTTTCACTATAATTTAGATATCGGATTTTGACCTAATATTAATTTGTTAGATGTAATTGAATTCTCTGCACAACGTCTATATTAACTTGTATTATATCTATTTTGCTTTAATTGGTTTTATATTGCACATACAAATAAGAAATTATTTTTACAGTTTATAATCAGTTTTCTGGAGGAGGCATGTACTTCATGAATTCACAATCTCCAATAATTTTGGCAAACGGTGACATTGAAACAGGTGGTAATATGCGTGTTTTTCACCTCATAAGACCTGTGGATGACCATCAAATTGGATCTAACACAAAAACAACTGAAAGAACTCATAAAGCCATCCCAGAAATCTTTTTAACCAGATTACTATCCACTAAGGGTACAATTCAGAAGTTTGTTAATGACTTTTTCAATACAATTCTAACTGTAAATGATGCTTTGCCTCCTGCTGTAAAATGGTTATTTGATTTACTTGATGAAGCTGCACGCAGACACTGTATAAGTGACCCAGAAGTTGTTCATGCATGGAAATCCAATAGGTAAATTAGAAATTAATTTTTAGCTATCAACATGTCAATATTCGCTTATTTAATTTTGTATTAAATTTTTAGTCTTCCTCTACGATTTTGGGTAAATTTTATTAAGAATCCTGATTTTATATTTGATATCAACAAGACTACAACAGTAGATTCATGTTTGTCAGTGATAGCCCAAACATTTATGGATGCTTGTTCAACAACTGAACATCGACTTGGAAAAGATTCTCCTTCCAACAAGTTGCTCTTTGCTAAGGCAAGCTTAAGAATATAATTATTACAAATTTATTAAATGTATTAATTTACCTTGCATACTACATATTATTTAAGGATAATGTCTTACAATTACATATTTAGTACTTTAATCTTAATTATCTGAGTTTTTATGAATAATAAAAAGAATATTTATTTTTCTCTAGGACATACCTCAGTATAGAGATATGGTATCGCACTTCTATGCATCAGTTTCCAGGCTTCCACAAATAACTGATCAGGAAATGGGCACAGCAATGCAGCAGCTTTCAGTACAGCAGTCAGATGAATTTGACACCATTGCTGCCCTAAAAGAATTGTATATTTATGTAACTAAATACAAAGATCAAGTGAGTATTAATTTTGCTACTTGCGCTCATGCATTTGTATACTTATGTTTTCAATGAGAATTAAGATATTGCAAATTTTGAGTTAATGTATTTGCAAAAATTTTATGTTTTTTGTATCTATTATGTTTTGATTATATGAATAGCATCAAATGAAATTATGCTTATCATTTGTGGTACAAATTTAACTTGAATCATTCTTAAAGCTTTATTTTTTGTTACAGTTATTTGATAGTTTAGAGAATGACCCGCACTGTAAGAAAATGCATTTATCACACAAGTTGGACAATGTCTTCTGTACATTAGAAGGAGAAGAAACATCTGCTTGCTGACATCGTCAGTCACCTGATTTGTTGCTCTCAAATTATAATTACTAATTTGTGATATTTTACAGAAATTATTTCATATTGCAAATTACTTTTTTAAACAGGCAAATAAAATTAACCATGAAATATTTACATGAAAATTATGAAATGCATCGCAATTGCTAATCTACAAAATGTACTTTATTGTAAAATATTATGTAATTCTATATTTTTGAGTGCAATCAGGTGACTGTTATAAAGGGGGGGGATCAGAACTGAAAGGTTTGGCTTATTTTAAAAATATTTAAGTATATGTAATTGTAAATAAAATAAATATATACATAGACATTTTATCTCATATATTAATCGGTCTAGAAGTTTAGATGAAGTTGTAACTATGTCTATTTTTTAAATGTAGAAATGTTCAGACTATGATCTAGTCTTAATAACGTTAGGTAATCTATGTTATATGAAATATAACATGTTTTTAGTATTATGCATCACAAGTGGTTCTCTGGTGCAGGTGTTTTTTATTAAAGATTTTTTAATTGAGATATTAGATGCGCTATTAAGTTTTGTGCAAATTTTATAGTATTTGTATTGCCGTCACATATAAAACGTCAACTAGCAAGAGGGATGTGTGGAGTATTGAAAGATTTTCACTAGTTACATCTTCTTCCTTCTTTTAAAAAATGGTCAATACGTAACTAGTTAAAAAAAAAAAAAACTTTTATATCCTTGATTATGCAATAATGTACTTTAATTTAAAATTTAGGTATATATTGAAAAATTGTCTTGCCAGCTTCGATTTCATATTTTTGGCTACTGTCATGGTACATTTCCAAATATTATTTCCACATATAAAATTACCAAAATTTTTGATACAAGTTGCTAAATGTGAGGCCTTTTTTGACTCATGACTCATACAGATTGTTTGCTTGAGTCTGTCAATACTAATTGAATTAAAATAATGTTTGTGATTTATGTAATAATAGTTCTAAGCAAGGTTATACATTCATAAGACTTTCATTAAGAAAAATTATTTTCAAACTTCATCTTGTATAATTTAAAAGGGCTAAAATTCATGATTTAAAACTAATTTTATTCTTAACGCTTTTATTGCATGTTAAGTAAACATTTCACATTTTTATGATAAGTTGTTCATTGTTGTAACAGTGATATATAATTGTATTAAAATTACTATATTAACATAATAAATATTAAGCAATAAGTTACTACAAAATATTTAATTAAATGGTGTGATATTTTTTCGTACTCATGTATTTCTAATTTATGATTCATATGCAATTATTTGGACATATATGCTATATATAGCATATGTTGTATGCATTGGTATGTGTGTGAAAACATTTTTGGATGTATTTAAGTTTTAATTCCAAATATATTTTACATTAGGAATACCATAATTATATATTAATTTTATTACATCATTTTATTATGTAAATTTTGTAAATGATATGATGATACTCCTATATAGTTAACGTTAGTACAATGAAGTGAAAATGATTATTTTGGATAAATTTTCAAAATAATTTATTATATATTTATCATACAATTTTTATAAATTTAGTATTATGTAGCCCATATTATAGAATAAATGAATGAATTTAATATACTCACGTCTACTATAAGTCTATGTACATATTAGATGACAACACTGCACTTATTGTTTTTTTATATTTTTTGATCTATTAAGTATTATTGTTCTGTTATACTTTAGGGCATGGGTGTCAAACTCGCGGCCCGCGGGCCGCATGCGGCCCGCAGCAGATATTTTTGCGGCCCGGCTGTCCGCATATGTTGACAAATGATAATATGCAATAAATAACAATTCAATGAGGAAAAAAAGAAATATGCAATAGAAATCTGCTTCTTTATTAAATTTGTTTTATTATTGGATGTATTATTATTACAGATATATTTATGTTTTGGAAGAATTAGTGTTTCACTAAATGACGGTCTCGATGCAGATCGAAACGCATGGATTAATGAAGCATATTTACTAATTGCTTTAGTTTTTTTTTTATTTAGTGCTACTGCCCGAATCAACAGACTCATTTCAAAGATATAATAATACCACACATATATATATATATATATATATATACACACACACACATATATATATATATATATATATATATATATATATATATATATAGTTTTTTTGCGGCCCGCTTGAAGTTAAACCCTTGCTTATGCGGCCCGCTTGGAGTTAAACCTTGCTTATGCGGCCCGATTGCACCTTTGAGTTTGACATCCTTGCTTTAGGGTTTACATTTTTATATTGTAATAGAGAAGAGGTGCAAATAGAATTTATAGAATTTGGTATTTTATGTTAAAAACCAATTTTAATTAAAGTGAATTTGTATAATATATGGCTTGTGAAGACACGCACTTTCAATTTCTTAAATTTGAAATATTTATAAGAACTTCTTGCTGTAAATGTGTATCGAAGTATTTAGAATGTAACTTGTACAGAACTGTATCCCAGCTAATTATATAAATAATGCAATTGTGAAATGATGTATAAAATTTTGATACCATATTCACATATTTTTAGTAATGTATATGTATTAATTGAAAGTAAATTAAATAAAAGAAACATATGTTGCAAATATTAAAATAGTTTGATTACACATTTTATTAACTTCCCGTAGGGTTAGTTATAATAATCGCAAAAAAATTGAAAATGAAAATTTGTATATATCTCTATGTTTCAAAAGTTTCTGAATATTTTGGCATACCTTAGAAAAATGGATGTATGTGTGTTTGTGCAGATCAACCGATTTGAATAATTCAAAAAACATTTGATTGATAAGGAGATGTGCTGATTAGTTTTTGGCAAAGGCAAGTCTAGCCGTTCCGAAGATACGGGGTAAGAAGTGCCAAAAACGGTAACTCAGTTTTTAAGAGAACGAAGCGTCCGATTTTAATAATTCAAAAAACATTTTACTTGTATTGACAAGATGAAGTACTGATTAAATTTTTGGGGAAGCAGGTACAGCGGTTATGGACTCTCAATAAAAATAAGTTAAAAATTGTCATTTTGCGGTCAAAAATGTTTGTTGGACATATGTACATCAAATTATCAGATATTTTATAGATTTTAATAATGTGTACACATTTTGTGTAAATTTATTTGGGTTCCGTACCAAGATTTGTAATTACGGTACGAAAAGTTCCAGCAATTTGCCTTAAAGGAACTATGCCATGCACCACACTAGTTCAAAACATATATTGTATGAAATACATACCTTTTGCACCAAGCACAATTTCTGTGAAATTTACATAAGGCTGTTCAGGCTCTATTGTCTGAGAACAAAGCCTGTTTGCTAAATTTTATATTATTATTGTATATTACATATATTATACTTATTCATCTTATATTCAATATAAAGCCGTTTCGCAAATTCGTTCAAACTTCGAAATTTGGTTGTGTTGGCGACACTTTGTGGTTGTCATGGTGACGCGAGCATGGATTATTATTATCTCGGTTCAGTTTTGTTTTGATTTTGTACGTGCAATTTTTTAGGTTACAAATGGACACAATATTTTTCCAAGTAAGCAATTGATCATTTAATTAATTGAATCAAGAGCAATTATTATTTATATAATTTAGTAATTTGAAGTGTTTTATTAATTTCTAGAAAACATTTAATTTATTCTCGTAATGTAGAAAATACATCTTCTAATTATGTTTTATAATATAGATAAAATAAATGATGCTCTTTATGTTTCTTTCGGATTGTTTGATTATTTAATGATGCAATGCTCTTCCAGATTATCTGTCTGCACCCAGTGAATTGCTGAGGAGATTTCAACCTTCATATAGAATTATGCATTTCTGAGTAAGTGTCTAATGCTCTATTGATTATCATTTATCATACAATCAACCCTCCTATAACGCGGTACTTTGGAAAGTGGAACATAATATGTGGAGCTATATATTTTCATATTATTGCAATAGCCCTTCACGCGTGGTTTCTGTTTAACAGCCCGAACAAGCTGTATCATAACTATATGAATGACTTTAGTAACTAGTGATAGTAAATGGTTTCAAAGTAAGTTAGATTTTCAATAAGTCTTCATATATTCTGATACAAATGGTGTAATTTGTATAATTTTCAAATCTGAATTAGCCAGAACGGTTCAAGCCAAGTGCATAGTTTTTCATAGCGTGGCTTTGGCATTACTTTATACACACAGCGTTAAAGGTGGGTTGTCTGTATAGATATTTTATTGCATTGTTTAAACTTGAGATTTTATTTGTGCAGATCTGCATTATGATCTTACGATCATTTTGGTTAATTAGAATTTATTTAAATTTATGCAGGTATAAGTAGGTATACAAATTCTATACTGAAATAATATAGTGGAATAAGATTATCTTTATGGAATAAGATTTATATTTTTGTATATATGTAGATAGAGAATGTCTAATTTTTCCAAATTTGTTATTGTGGTTAGAAATAAGTTATGGTTCCGGATTTTATGATCTTTAAAATCATATCAATCATATATTAAGAGCATCAATTGAGTAGTACTAACCATATCAATGAATAATCCTTGAGTTTTATAATGATTCTATTTAAAAATATAAAAAATAGTTATCTCACAATTTCATGATTGTGCTTCTACACCAATAATGAGTCGTCAAATACTCCATAAAAATGAAATAGAGATAATTTAATATTATTGTAGTTAAGATGATGTGGCATTATTATTCTTCTATGCCAATGCCAATTTACTTTTTCATAAATATATATTTTAGTAACAATGGATTTTGTTATTGATGTGCCTTACATTTTAATTAGTATTATCGTATCGAGTCCTAGAAATATTGCTGGTTTAAGTGGTGCATTGCTATCTTTCGATTTCTTGATAGTAGTTTGCATCAATTCTCTTCTCATAATGTGAAGCTAAAATTGATAATAAATGTGGTTGGGGAATAGATGATATTAAATATAAAAACCTTTAAATTTCTATTTTACTTTTATAATTCGTTGAACATATATTCCAGGTACAAGTATCTGGCTTTAATATTGCTGCTGTCACTGTCTCCTCAAATTCCAAAATTGCTCGATTCACAGCATAATTCAAGTTCTTAGCTTTTAGTTTATTGAGAACTGTAAAGGTAATATTAGATTTTCAAATTATTAATTGGTATAGTATGTTCTTATAATAATACTTAAATCTCTTATTGTGTCATACTTAAATTTCTACCAACACCTGGTTCTCCAACATATAAAGGGTTATTTTTTCTGCACCTTAGTAATTTCTTCATTTTTTTTAATATTTCACCTGTATTTGCTACAGTAGAGATATCGTTATTCTTATCAAGTTTTATCTTGTGATTAGTTACATATTCTTCTATATCACCTGAATATTTTATATTGGATATGTTATAAATCAAATTAGAATACTTTGCATTCTGTTTGCATAATAGCTCTTCAATATACAAATCTTGCTCAAACAGAATTTCTAATAGAATACTTGCTCCATTTATTTCTTTTCTTTCCAAACGATGAGTTTGTATCATGGCTTTATGTATTATGCATTGAAATAGCACATCAGGCTCAACTTTATTTACAGTTAATTTGGAGTTGTCTTGTAAAAAAACCTTTTGTATTACTATCACGATCATTCCTTAATATAATATGTATCTATATTTATGATTTCACTAGTTCTGATGTTATATCTTGATAAAATATAATTTACATCCACGTTTGGTTAATGCTAGCAGCAAATGTTCCACTTTCGCATATTTAAGCTTACAATTAGAAGCAATCTCTAATGCTCTATTTAAACTTGCCTCTAAATTTTTGGAGAACATCTATTCTCTTTAAAAGTGTAAATTTATATATAATAAGTAGCACACAATTATTAAAAAAACTGATATCTAGCAGCACGTTGTAGCCAAATTGAGTTAAGCTACAGATTATAATTTATACAACCTAACATTATACCATTGTGATAATCTCAAAACGTTATAAGCAGCAGATTAAGATTATCAAATTGTAGGTAAATCTAATTTGGGCTAGCTATATATTCTTTCTATCCACCCTCCAATCACTTCACTTTGCAGCAAGTTTACTGGAGCTTTCAAAGAATAGAAGAATAGTTAAGTACATTAACACGCTTTTTCTAGTACTCTGCTTTTCTTCTTAAATGCATTGATCTTTTTTCTATCGTATTTAGCCTTTAACGAACTTGGCCTTTTGAAGATCTTTTTGCTGTTACATTTTTGATATTGCATACTACAATCAAAATTTGGCTCTCTTAAAAACATTTGTAAATAGACTTAAATGTTGCTTAGTATATTATTCACTACTACTAATAGTTATAAAACAATTTAGAATATATCACATTTTCGTCTTCTATTTAACAGAAGTATAAATATACATACATTTTAAAAGAAATTTAATTAATGTATGAATAACAAAACAATAATTTACCAGCTCCTCTTTTATGGATTATTTCTGCATATCCTTGCAATTTAACTTCAAGTTTACCATTTAAATATTGTTTTTCAAATTCAGCATTTTCACCCACTTCAAGCAATCATGCGTTTGATCCTTTTTTTGTTCAACTGTAATCCCAGACCAAATGTACCAACACCTGAATATAATAATATTATATTATGAAGATGAGATTATGTATTATATTATTATAAAGATTAGCAATTAGTAATTATGGAGTACATCTTTATCTGCACCTGCATTGTAGGAAACGTGTTTGTCGCAAATTCATTGTTCAAAATTTGAACGGTTGTGTTGGTTTCCTTTTGTAGTTGCTATGGTTACGCGTATTTTTTATTATCTAGAGTTCAGTGTTGATTTTGTTTTAACGTGTGCTTTTTTAGGTTACAATTCACTACAATATTTTTCCAAGTAAGTAAATGTAAAGCATATAATTATTTAAGTAAATAATTATTCATGTAGTTTGATAATTTAAAGTGTTTTAATTTCTAGAATTTATTTGAATTATTTTTGTAATATAGAAAATACTCCAATTATTTGTCAAATATAAACAGAATATAATTAAGTTCGTTTTTTATTTTTCTATCGAATTATTTGCTTATTCAATTTATCTCTTCTAGATTTTTCGTCAGCACTGCACTTTCTTTTGGATTTCACACTTTTGACACTTTTTATACAGTTTGAAGTTACATTTTTGTATTTGGTAAGTGATATTTGTTATTCTTTATAGTCCGTTTTATTTTATACAGGCGATCCTCCTATAACGCGTTTCTATATTATGTGGAGCTAAAATTGCTCTCTTATAACGCGCGCTTCACGTTCAACTGCACATAAATTTCTTTTACGCAGGAAGAAATACTGTATTTTTACTATATAGTCAGTCCAGTAATTTAAGCTTAAATTAGGTAAGAATCTCGGAATTTGAGATACCCAGCTGTAAGTCTGTAAATACTTGTATATTGACACCTAAAAGTTGTCTCAAAACCTACATATGATAGGGTAGGATGTATGCAACATAAGAAGGTTTTGCGACAATTTTTAGGTGCCTATATGCAAGTATTTACAGACTTACAGCTGGCTATCTCGAATTCCGAAGTGAACTTATTATAATGACTGAACTATATATGAATGATTTTAGTAATTAGATTTTGTAAGATTAATTAGCCTTCATGGTCAAGCTGAGTTGTTTCTTATAGTGCAGTTTCTATATCACACTGTATGCAATCACAGGAGGATTGACTGTATTTATTTTCTTGCGTTATTTAAACTTGAGATTTTATTTGCACAGTATCTGCATTATTAATGTTTATAATCTTCAAATGATTAACGCTGTTTAGGATTATTTTAAATTTATAGATAAGGGTAGAAATTTTGTACTGACTTCAATTACTTCAATTGTTATCTTTATAGATTTCTATGAGATGAATGTTTTTGTATATATGTAGGTAAAAATATCTAACTTTGCCAAATTCATTATAGGGGTCAATAATTATTGATTTCTAATAAAGGAATTTAAGCATTTTCAGTATGCAAACTATATATTAATTTACTTTGTTAGTCAAGTTATGGTTTATTAATGTCAAGTTATTAAAATTACTTTAAGCATATTAATATTAATAGTAGTAATAGTAATAATTGAATTATTAGTACTAATCACACCAATGGAAAATCTTACAGTTTTATAATGATTTTATTTAAAATTATCAAAAAATATAGATATCTTACAATTATATGATTGCACAATTTTAAAGAAGTAAGTTTAGTACGAAAATATTGAACTTCATTCTTATATATTTATACATTAGAATATATACTATAATTTAATATTTTTTTCAACACTATATTTAAATAAAAAATCACTTATAAAACATCTTCAACTTGACCCATTGGTTTAAGATCTGGAGATACCTCAAATTCGCAACCTGTTGCGACAACAATATCTTCAACTTTAACTCCTTCAGCGATTTCAATCAATGTTAGACCTTTTTCTGCATCAACCTCAAATACTCCCTGAAAATAAAATAGATATTATTTCATATTCAATATTATTGTAGTAAAGAAAATGTGGCATGTCAATTTACTTTTTCTGTTATGATCATATCTACACAATTTTTGCCTGTTAATGGTAATGTACAATTTTCTAAAATTTTATGAGATCCATTCTTGGCATTGTGCTCCATTGTAACTACAACTTTAGTTCCAGGGGCAGCTACCAAGTCCATAGCTCCACCCATACCTTTTACTAATTTACCCTGCAAATTAACAATATTTATTTTACTAACAAATTAATTAGTGTTATCTTATTAAATCAATAAGAAGTCATAACAATATTTTCAACTGATAATCATTATAATATAACTTACAGGTATCATCCAATTAGCCAAATCACCAAATCTTGAAACCTCCATAGCTCCCAAAATTGTTAAATTAACATGACCTCCTCTTATCATGGCAAAACTATCATCTGAACCAAAGAATGAAGCCCCGGGTAAAACAGTGACCGTTTCTTTACCAGCATTAATGAGATCTGCATCAACATCAGCAGCTTCAGGGAAAGGCCCTAATCCCAAAATACCATTTTCGGATTGCAAGAACACATTCATTCCTTTTGGAATATAGTTTGAGGCCAGCATAGGCATACCTATACAAAATTGTTTAGTTAGTTTTTTAAATAACTAAAATCTGTTCTGCAAATTATACACTGAGTTCACTGTTTACCTATTCCCAAATTGGCATACATTCCATCTTTAAATTCCAAAGCTGCTCGTCTTACAATTTTTTCTCTTAAAACAGCTGCTGGCTTAAGTGGTGCACTAGTATCTTTGGGTTTTTTGATAGTAGTGCGCTCAATTCTTTTTTCATAATGTGGACCTGAAATTGATAATGAATGTATGTGGTTTTATAATAAAATATAAAATGCTAAACCATTAAATTTCAATTTTACCTTTTATAATTCGTTGAACATATATTCCAGGTACATGGATTTCATCTGGCTTTAATGTTCCTACTGGGACTATCTCCTCTACCTCAGCAATTGTTACTTTTGCCGCTCGACATACAGCAGGATTGAAGTTCCTAGCGCTTTTATTGAAGACTGTAAGTGTAACATTAAATTTAAAATTAGTTATTGGAATTGTAGGTACTTAATAATAGTTAAATCTCTAATTATATCATACTTAAATTTCCAATGGTATCTGCTTTGTAAGCTTTTACTAGGGCAAAGTCACCAGTTATAGCTTCTTCCATTATATAATTATTGCCATTAAACACTTGTGACAGCCTAGGCTGACTACTAATTTCTACCTGCGAATTGATATTGCTATTTATTATTGATCTGAAGAGATTTGAATGAATGAAACATGAATATAGTGAACATACCTCTCCTTTCTTTCCATATTTAATGGGAGCGCCTCCTTCATGAACAAGGGTTCCATAAGCGGTTGGTGTAAAAAAAGCAGGAATACCTAAACAGATAGTATTTATATATTGCTCATTATTATAAAACAGTTTAAAATGTTTTATTAGCTCTTTCACATGGAATTTTTAATTCCCATTCAACAGAAGTATAGTTTGATAGATACTATACATTTTAAGGAACAATTCATAAAGCAAAGTTTTTAAAGATAAAGTTAGATAGTTAACATATAATTTACTACTGAATTCAATTAACTTATGATGAACAGAACAATTTACCAGCTCCTCCTGCTCGGATTCTTTCTGCTAATGTTCCTTGAGGAGTCAATTCTACTTCAAGTTCACCACTTAAATATTGTCTTTCAAACTCAGCATTTTCACCCACGTATGAAGCAATCATGCGTTTGATCCTTTTTTCTTTTAACAGTAATCCCAGACCAAATGTATCAACACCTGAACATAAAAATAATATATATATATATATATATATATATATATATATATATATATATATATATATATATATATATATATAATTTTGTGATGAGTGGAACGAATATTAAATGTTCAATATGAACAATACAACACTCAGATTTTTAAACACACACTTTATTTAGCAATAACAGACGTTTCGAGACCATGGTATGCCTCATCTTCAGTGTAATTTCAAAAACAGTTACTTATATGCTACACATTCTGTTTAAATTACATTTCATTTTTGGGAATACAAAAAACACCAACTATCGCTTGCAAAGCTTGACACAGTGCTATCTTTTTTGTATTTTCAAAAATTAAATGTAATTTAAATAAAATATTAAAGAATGTATAGCATATAAGTAACTGTTTTTGAAATTACACTGAAGATGAGGCATATCATGGTCTCGAAATGTCTGTAATTACCAAATAATGTGTGTTAAAAATCTGAGTGTTGTATGGTTCATATTTAACATTTATTATATATCAACATCTATGAACCACATCTTTACCCGCATTGTTGGAAACAACAGTTAATCCAGAAACACCATGTTTTAATACAGCAGCGATTAAATTTTCGGGAATTCCACATAAACCAAAACCACCAACTAGTAATTTAGCTCCATTTGGTATATCTTTAACAGCTTCTGAAGCATCTTCATAAACTTTTGATCCTTTTGTGGAGTAAGAGCATGAAATTACCTAAAATAATCAAGTTTGAAATTTTATCATCTATTTGACCTCAAGCAAACGAAATCTAACCTTCACATGACAATGTGAAATAAGAATTGAAATTAAAATTGATACCTACTGCTACGTTTTGTCCTATTAATTTATCTAATTTCCACTTAAATATATAATTTGTTAAATTATTCGTGCGACTCAATAGCGCCATGGTTAGGTATATACTATCGGATATTTCAACACCAACATCCCTGTGACATTAGTGACATTAATTTGAATGTAATATACATAACAAGATTTATATCAGAGGTGCCAAACCTAAAATAAACTAATCTAGTTCACAATATCATGACAAACTTTTAATATTTAGATTTAATACTTTTAGAGGTTATGAACATTCTCATCACAACACTACGTTTAATATTGACTGAAACACTTATTTAATTAGTAATTTAAACTAGTGGTGCATGGCATCGTGCCTTAAAGCAAATTGCTGAAACTTTCCGTACCGAAAACTTTTCAAAACTTTGAAAAAATTTGACTTTTTGAAAATTTTGATTTTTTATGTTGATTTTTTTAAAAAATATTTTGTATTTTGATTTTTTTATATTTGGATTTTTTGAACATTTTTTCAAGTAATCGCACTGCATAGCTGATTTGGATTCGAATTATCAAAGCGCGTAAGCGCCGCGTAGTCGTCTAACGTGTAAACATTGGTACGGAACCCATATCCATGTACACAAAATTTGTACTTATTATTATAATCTTTTTAAAATATCTGATAATACGATGTACATATGTCTAATGATCATTTTCAACCGTCAAATGGCATTGTATTTACTTTTTTTATTGGATCTCTGGACACGCTGGACCTGCCTTTACAAAAATTTTACCAGTTGTTTATTTCTTCAATACAAGTAAAGTGTTTTTGAATTATTTAAACCGGACGCTCCGTTATCTTCAAAATTAATCAGCACGTCTCCTTATCAGTAGGAATTGAATGTTTATTATATTATTTAAATCGGTTGGTTCGTGCTGCCAAAACCACATGCATACATCATTTTTTTAAGGTATGCCAAAGCGTTCAGAAACTTCTGAAACGTAAAGATATATAAAAATTTTCATTTTAGATTTTTTTGCGATTACTATAACTTACCTTACGGGAAATTAGATATTTTACTACATGTAAGTGGCATTTTGCCTCACGGCAAGTCACATGAACATTACGATATGTGCAAATAACTGACATTTTGACATTTAGCAGCATTTTAATTGTATTAATTATTTCAAACTTTAATGCTGTTTTTTTAAATAAACCACTTTCTATAGACTTAATATTTTAGGATGTTGTTTACACCAGGAAATTTAATGTTTTAGGATGTGGTTTACACCAGGAATTTTATCACTGTGCGAAGCTTCATTAAAACGTCGAAAACAAAATATTATTTCAGCCATTAATTACGAAGAAATGGCCCGGCGGATCTTGACCAAAAACTAGTTAGCACAATTCCGACGTGATATTTATCAAACAACGTTTACATTTTTTAAAATCGGCTCGAACAAAACGCTGACAAATCTTTTTTTATTTTTGAACTGATTATAAAGAAAATGCTCGAACTTAGGAGTCTTAATCGAATTTCATCATACATTATTTAAATTTTTGGAACAGATTCGGCCGTTTTGAAGAAAACGTCGTTGAAATGTAAAATTTCGCATACACACTCACATACATACACATAGAAATACATACATTCTACACATACGGTATGTGCGTGTGATATAGAAACACAAACATATTTTTTTCAATTTTGGTCTCAAACGATTCAGAACGACTTGGAACGCCGATAAAACATAAAGTTAGCGAATCGGATTTTCTGACGCAAATATAATTCTCTTCGAAAAGTTAAAACCTACACTGTTAAGTTTATATGCAAATTATGGTAAAGACATGATCTAGACAGGGATCTTATTAGAGGTTTTTTGTTTTCAATTAATATTTTAAAGATTATAAGTATTTTGTCAAATATTCCATTTATGCTTATTAAATGGTTTGAATATTTCTTCCCATATACAACAAACTTAGCGTGAGTGGCATTTATAGGCAAGTTGCATGAACTTCCTATATAAAAAAAATAAATGTTAATTACCCCTGTTTCATAAACTGCCGCAAATTTCAAGGTCAACATTAAGTTTAAACGGTTTTGTAAATTCAAAACAAAGTTAGAAAGCGCAATCGACTACCTTTATTTAATTATATCTGATGGCATTTATAGTTTTATCAGATGAAAGTTCTAAGTATTTATTATACTAGTATTACTAATCTTCGGTTACGAATTAATTATTTACGTATACAAGATTTAAAGTTTATCATAATAATGAAGCAATAATGTTCGCGTTATCAAAATTGTAGCTCTCGTTCAAGATATACACGTGCGTCCTTCATTGGTGAAAAATAAATTATTTATATGTAAATATACAGGTTTTTGTTTCAAATATGATGATTCGCTCTAGTCAAAGTTATTTATGTCTTATATTTTGTTTATTTTGCTTATAATTATTTGATGTAACTCGGCAATAACACCGTTGGTATATATTGAATTATAGTGAGCATTATTTAAACTATATACACACATAATTTTTCAGTGGTGAACTAAATTTAAAGAACATAAATGTACGAGTGTAGAAATTTACAAATATTATGAAAAGCATATCGAATAATTCTAAAAATGAATATAATGAATTAAAAAAATAATTGAGAATAAATGATACGTAGACGTTCTAACGATTTTATAGATTTTTTTTAAATGTAGATATTCGTTTTAGCCTTTGTTTAGTGTAGAAATATTCATATGAATGATGCATTTAATCCAAATAAAATAATGAGCATGGTTGTTGAAAGTGTAAAACAGTAATAAATATGCATACATATAGTTTGAATATTTTATTGTTGTTAATCGCCACTACAATCTATGATATGAAAATATGCACTAAATTGTGGTATGGTAATAAAAAATATAAAGCTCGTAATAATTTAATAAGGTATAAAATATAAGCGATTTAAACAATGACTATTGGTAATAATAAATTAATAAAAATAATGACTATAAATACTGTGACGCATTTATGTATAATCTAAATCCATATATTTTAAGTTTATTTTTTTTATTTGAAAACGTTTTTCACATATTTTCTTCAAAAAATTGGATTAAAAAAATAAATTGTTGACTTGCTTTCTTGTTATACTTTTTAATTGTGTAGATTGTACAATTATTTTTATGTTGATGTTTAAATTTACTTTACGATTTATGTTGATGTAGGCGTTTTTTTCAAATTGCTTGTTTCTACATTGTATTTCGAATTAAAATGAGAGCAGGTATTTTAATAAACTAGTGGGCAGATTTTGCCGTAAAATAGACTAATGTTATGGCAAGGCTATGTTATGTAGCAGTTTTTATATAAATTGGTACTTAAAACTGTCAAAAGCTTATGTGGTTGCTGTGCAGTCAGGCGTTTTAGTTAAAAAAAAACTCGCCCAAATGTCAAAAAACAGGTATGTTATCATAATTGCATCTTTGAGATACGACTTGATAACATATGAGTGAAGTTGCATTTAATGCGTAACACGCCTGATCGCAAGGCAAATACATTGCATTTTGACAGTATTTAGTAGCATTTTGTATGAAAACTGGTACTTAACATAGCTTTACCATAACATTGGTTTATTTTACTGTAGAATCAACCCATAGATTTCTAAAACATCAGGTGCTGAATTTTGTCTTATTTTGAGAAAAAAATTAACTCGTAGTTTAACTGCGATAATTAACTTTCTGCAGCAGCAGAAGACCTGAATTGTTTTTTTCTGTCAAGTGATATTTTTTCGACAAAATAGTCTTATGGCACCTGTGTGATATTTTAGGTTCATTTATTTTTTGAGATGAGTGAGATTATTTCACTTATAAAGTAGATTTGTGTCCTTTATTAACTGCTTTCGTAACTAAAAACCCTAAATAAGTCTATGTTAACATACCAGAAGTTGTTTAACATACCATATTATTCATTTTATCAACTTTTAATTTTGAGAAGGTGTTTCTGGTACTAATTTATGATTCATTTTTGATCAATTGTAGGTAAAAAAGTTTTATATATAGAATTATAGAATATGTATAGCTTTAAAAGCTTTGGTAGTATTTACAGCTAGAGTGTTTCTGGTACCAATTTGTAATTAATTTTTGATCGATGAAGCTGTACTGATAAATTCTATATGTATAGAAAGCTAATCTGTTCTATCAACTCTAACTGCATTGTGGGTTGAAGTTTTTTTTATTAAAATTAATAAATCTCACAATTATTATTAAAATTTTAAATATACAATGGTGTAGATAAAATTATGAAAAAGTGCTTGATCTCAAATCACTTTATTAGACTATTCTTATTTGCAATTCTTCTGAATAGAAGGTAGAACGATCAATTTTATGATATTGATAAAAAAAAATAGATTTTGAAATTGTGATACATGGAGAACTTATTTTAACGAAGTTGCTAAAAGCAATATATATTAAAAAAATTTATATCAATATGACATGAAATGAATTATTTAGAATATGGTATCTAATTTTTTGTCATGCGGAGTAAGGAGTTTTGTCCATTATTCATTCATTGGTTTTTAGGGTGAGGGGGAGTTTGACAAAATATAACATGGGGGAGGAAGGCGTATAGTAAGATATTTGTTTTTTATCTGGATTTTTTTAAAAAAAATCCAAACATTTTCAAAAAAATTCAAAAATTTTACCATTTTTTCCGTAACTAAAGACACCTGTGGTTTAGTGAGGGAGGGGGTAATTTTGGTTATCATCACATAATAATATTTCATATTGTTTTCAATATATATTTTTTTAATATTGTTTTTTGATACATATAAATTACAGATAATATAAATTGTTTTGTTTAAATTTATTAATAGTATTTAAATTAAATAAATTTATATATCTCTATAAAAATTGGCTGATCCTACGAACAAGAACAACAAAAATATTGTTATATTATTAGATTTATAAAAGCATCTTACAAGTTATTTTATGTACATACATTTTCTTTAAAATATAAAAATATATTAAAGAGAAATAATTTATATTATATTAAGTCAAACTTTGAGCGATTATAAAAGTCCTCTTTATAAAATTTCAATAATATATTTTATGTTTACAACATAGTTTAATATTGCATCTTGAGCTTGTTATGTCGTTGGCGATTTGAAGCATGAAGTGCCATCAACTTTTCGAAGATTTATGACCATTAATGATTTCAAATTATTAGATGTAAAATGCACATTATTGACATTAAAATAATGATCAAATGTTTATTAGTAAATTAAATGTAATTTAGTTTATTTGACGCGTCCGGCGCGTACATCTGTCACAGCTCCCCATAATTCTATTATAAAGTCATCTGTAAATCCAAATGCTTCTAAGTCGGATGAATCGATTGCCTCTGCAAAGTCCATCGAATTACTTTTTCCTGTGATTGAAAATTCAATTATTATTATATGCTGTAATGTGTAATTGTGATATAGTTACCAGATTTTTTTTATTTGATAGCAAATAAGTGTTTGAATTTGTTTACCTACGGCGTGTTCCCAAATTTGTGTCGCCAATTCAACATCACTGACACCCATAAACGAATCCAATAGTGTGTTGATACGATCTATTCCTAGTTGAACTTTTTCATCATGCTGAAATTATAAATAATAATACTGTGAAGTATCACTATATCATCAATTTATTATTATTATATTATCACTATATTATCAATTTATTATTATTATTATTGTTATTTCAACAGCAATCGGACTTCAAGTGTCTTATAAACTGTTATTGATGATTTGACTTTATAGTCCAGTCATTTAAACTTAAATTAGGTAAGAATCTCGGAATTCGAGATACCCATCTGTATGTCTGTAAATACTTGTATTTTGCACCCTAAAAGTTGTCTCAAAACCTACATATGGTAGGGTGTACGCAACATATGTAGGCTTTGAGACAACTTTTAAGGTGAAAAATACAGGTATTTACAGACTTACAGCTGGGTATCTCGAATTCCGAGGTAAACTTACTATAATGACTGGAGTATTAACTAACTACGTCAGTTTTATAGATGGCAATCCAAACAGTTGTCTTATCAGTGTGATGAATTTTATTATTACAGTTTCTGTAATAATAATGGATTTTTGATTGGTGCACCAATACGGTGTGACAAGGCTATTCTCGCATGGAAACATATTGCTATATGTGTTTCCAAATGAAAACCGATGTCACTGCTGCTCAACATCAGGCTGTCCGAAGCGCATATTGTTATTATTATAAAAATTGTAATAGTAGAAATAATCACAATAGTTATAGTGAAGAAGAGACAATTGATTGTGTTGCCATCTATATAAAAACCGTAGTTTATAAGTAATTCATCACCCTTAAGCTGTGATTGCTGTTCAAATAACTAATTGATAAAAACGTATGATTTTAAATACACTATTAATATTTTTTATAAATGCTTGAAGAAATGCTGTATAGGTTTACTATACAACTTCTATACACATTTCAATGCACCCAGTATCATGTTTTGTAACATGATAACATAATCAAGATAAAATTGATAATATTAGGAATTTATTATATTTGGCTTATCTTAATAAACACGACTTAATGAAATATCATAATGGTCAAATGACAATGACATATTTTAACAAATCTTTTTTATCAAGGTATTTTATTGCTTGTTTATATTATTTTGTTCAAATTTTGTAATGCTAGAGATGTTCTGTTATTATTAATATTAGTTCAATAAAGATTAACTTATTATTGATTGTGCGATTATATTATAGCTGATTATGCTTACAAATTCTATTATATTGAAATTTAAAATTTTATTTATCGGCAAATTCAGAAATATTATTGACGGAAGATAACATAGCATTAGTCCACTATCATTTCTAATGCAGGTGAAATATACCACTAACACCGTTGTATGTTTTTTTTTAAACCTAAAATTTAAATTTTATTATTTTACAAGATATATGAAAGTACTAAAATTCAAATTTCAGATTTAAAAATGTGAAACGGTTGTAGTATATTTCATTTGTGTTAAAAGTAATAGTTGACTAAGAGCAAGTATAAATTATGTAAGCCAAACTATCTTAAACGTTGATCAAAATATATCATTAAATGCAATTTTGTTTATAATATTGCATAAAAATCAATAAATCTTAATTACAAATAATATTCATGTAAGCCATTCCTAATTAGCTTAACAGTGGCCCTAATTTATTTATCAATAAAAATTAAATAAAAGAAAACAACCTCAACAGCAAAATAAAAATTTGAGAATTAACCTTTGCCACTCGCGAATTGTGAAATTAAGGTGTTAGGGGTACTTGGAGGTACGAAAAAATGAGAATTTTCAGTATTGTTTTTTTGCTATTAAACGGTGTTTTTTGACAAAAATATTAATACGGCACCATTATACAATGTTTTGACTTGAAGTAACAAAAATTTCAGAATTTCGATTTGCTGTTGCCTATGAAGCATTCTGGCCTCCCGAGTGTTCTCGTTGGCGCGCTGATCTGCCACTGAGTTTCTTTCTGATTATGGATTCAATCTTGAACTACACATCTTGAAAGTAAATTATCATTGCTGAGATCGTCGTAAATTGGTTAGAAAGCTTTTAAAACATTAGGAGGTGAGGGAGAATAATCTTGAGTATAAGTATCGAGCTCTCCACTTGCGTCAACGCGCTGGTAAGAGTCCAATAACTCAAAAAGTAATCATCGGATCAACTTGAAATTTGCAGAGAACATTTTCAAGATATTACACTTAATGAAAATGCAAAAAAATAAAAATTGATTCCAAAAAATTCCAAGTACCCCTAACCCCTTAATTCATTTTTCTACATTTACTTTAGATTAATTTATTCTACAATACACCAAGTGTTTTACAAAATATTCACTAACCTCATCTTCTATGGCCACGTTCCCGTTCGCCTTGAACCGAAGTGTTTCTTTTCCCGTACCATATCCTGGTTTCTTCCCTTTAGAAAGCCGTGGGTCGCCCCTTGGCCCTATGCTACCAAAACCGTTACGTAGAGGTTCTACTAGGCGAATCGTAAACGTAGCACCACGTGGTATCTCCTTCAGAAGGCGCGCCACCTCAAAGTGGCGACGGCCAACAACATTTTCTCCGTTTAATTTTTCAATATGATCACCAACCTGAAAGAAAAAATCATTGTCTATTTCTATTGCATTGGGGCCGTTCAAGTATTACGTAAGCACTATAGGGGGGCGGGGGATTGTTGATTTGCTTATTTTGGGTTGACATGGGGGGCAGGGAAGTCTTGATGATGATTACGTCATAGGTAGTATTTTTATTTTTTTACATTAATTGCAAAATGTTTACGTAAGCATGGGGGTAGGGGGTATGAGCTTTGCTTACTTTTGCTGAGAAGGGGGATGGGGGGGGTAAATAATTGTAATAAATCTGCTTACGTAATACTTGAACGATCCCATAGTCATGACAAGAGCAGTCTATTTTCTGTGATTCTTAAATATACAATTTAAGAACTTTCTTAAATTTAAATTGTGTTTTAGTATCAAATAATTTATGTTTTGGACTGCTATTTAAAATCGTGTATATTAAAAAAAATATTTTCAATTTCTGATCATTTATTACTACTGTGATCGGGGATTTTTCGATTTCTATTTTAGTTAAAAATCATGGGTTAGTTAGCAACTACTAGAATAATGTCATCTACTAACCGTTAGTAGATGACATTATTCTAATTATCCAGTCATTATAGTAAGTTCACTTCGAAATTCGAGATACCCAGCTGTAAGTCTGTAAATACTTGTATATTGACACCCTAAAAGTTGTCTCAAAATCTACATATGGTAGCGTGTCAATACCATAAGTAGGTTTTGAAACAACTTTAGGGTGTCAATATACAAGTATTTACAGACTTACAGCTGGGTATCTCGAATTCCGAAATTCTTACCTAATTTAAGCTTAAATGACTGGACTATTATAAGGTTTTTGACTCAACACTACGCGACGTTGATATAATATAAATAATATAATGAGTGGGTTAAAAAAATCTTCAAAGTTGTAAAAAAAATTTCAATCATGTGAAGTTTTGTGAACAGAGATGCTGATAACAACTTCAAGTAGAATAATTTTTATTTCCTTATATTTATTTATATAAAATATTAGCAAATTATTAATTTTTTGAAAATGTTAATTTTTATTTAATGCTTGGTTTTAATAATGAGTCGAAGATTGTTTATTATACAACAGCCTAACCTTATATCGAGTATTATTGGATGACATCAAAACCTAGATGATGTATATAACTCCAATCCTGATGTATTCGCATATTATCAATAATACTATTTGAATAGTTTGAAACATATTAGACGAAATAATTTTGGTCCAATAGTTGAGGGTTAATTTTATATGCAAATTACAATTTTGTTTGTGTCTGTATGGAATTTCAGATATGAATTATCTAAAAAGCATCCACACTATTTAATTTTTTTTAACAAAATTCTAAAATTTTACAAGTGAAGTTAAAATAGTTTGGCTAGAGGAGACAAGTAAATATAGAAAATATTTTGTTTTTTAATTACTTGAACAGCGATCAGAACTTATGGGTTCTATGAGCTGTTGTGATGAATTTCTTACAACCCAAATAGTTGTCTCATCACTATGTGATGAATTTTATTATTGCAATTATTGTAATAGTGATGACTTTTATCTAGAAAATATTGACAAATAACTTGAGACAAATTGTTAAAATATATCGGTCAATGTTCTGAAAACTTTATGTGCAAATCTTAATTTTAACTTTAAAAAAAATCCTTTCCAAAGAAAAAGATGGACTCTCAATATGAATCGAATGTTTTTTATACACTTGTATTATAAACTTTATTTTCAAAAATATAAAAACATTTCTAAATTTTGCATATGCAGCATCTTTAATATATATTCACCACTTTTATCTCGATGGGTTCATTTTACGTGGTATAAATATCAGGCTTTATGTTGTACGTTACTTTGTTCAAACGTGGAGACATGTAAGAAGTGAAGAGTAAAGATAGGCGATTCAATAAACATATAAAAGTCAACTACAAGGTTTCATCATTAATGTTGCATATTTTGATCAACTGTTTTGATTGACACTTGTTAATTTTGTTTCGTTGCAAGCTATTGATAAAATATCGAAGAACTATAAAATATATTTTTGATATATGATTACCACAAGTGTTTTAAGACACTTGTGCAAAGTAATGCTTATTATTAGAGGCAGGTCCACCAGATGAAACGTCCAAAATTTGGTTAAAAACCACATACAAACTTAAATACATCTATTTTCTCTAAAATAAAACCAAAATGATCAGAATCTGATATCAAAAAAATATTTTGTAGATCTTCGAGTTTTTATCACTTCAAAAACTTGCAACAAAACAAAATTAACAAGTGTTAATCGAAAAAGTTGATCAATAGGGAATGCAATACCGGTATACCGGTATGCCCGATTTTTCGGCGGTATTTTTACCGGTATTTACCCCAAAAACACAGGTATTTTCGGTATTTTTACATAAGCGCTATTTGATACATAATATTATACACTAAAGTTTAAATTTCTCGGAACAAATTTATCTTTAAATATCATAATCGCATAAACAGCTTCAAGTGATTTTATAAAATAAACAAATGTCAAATATTATCTCAACTCGTCATTAAACTAAATATTTATTGCTTTACTAAGGGCTGCATATCGTGTTACAATAAATAGAATTGGACTGATAGATAATGATGCTTGTTTCATCTTATGTAAAAATGTAACGGTTTTTTAAGTGATATTTGCGCCAAAATATTTTATATTTTTTATATCATACATACATCTTTATTTCTTTCTAACTTTATATATAATAATTATGATGATTACTAAATATTTTTGCTTTTTACTACAATTATAAAATATTATTTTTCGAAAACGTTTCGAAGTTTGAAAATACTGTAGAAGCAATCACATTGTTTTAAATAACAATTCTAACAATTATAGTAACTTATTATTTATCTCAACAAATGTCCGATCTTAAATTAGTGTAGAATTTTTTTTTTAAATATTGGAGATTATGCTAATTTAACACATCGGATACAGACAATACAGTTTATTATAATAATGTAATATGATCTTTTATGAGTTTTTGGTCTATCTTGCTCATAAGTTTGTTTTTGGTGAAAAGTACTCAATATACTCGATAGTGATAATGAATTAATTAAATTGGATATACTTTTGTTAAATTATGATTTAAAAAAATGATCTTATTGTTTTCTTTTATTATTTTTATTGTTGAATATAGTTGTAGTTGTATATACATTTTTTTTATATTTGTACTAGTAACTTTCAATTTTGTTTACGTTTGTTTAAGATAATAAAAAATACCGGTAATTTACCGGTATTCCGGTTTTAAAATGAAAAATTACCGAAATACCGGTATTGAAATTTTCCATCGGTATTGCATTCCCTAGATCAAACTATGCAACATTAACGATAAAACTGACAGTATATTACGAATTTAAAATTATTAAGTAAATATATCACTAAATAGTCAAAATTTACTTTAATGTTGGATACGGTCACGTTTGTTGATTCAGTGAGAGAAATAAAAAATTGTGAAAAATTATAGAAAAATTAAATTAAATTAAAAATTATACTTAAATATGTTGTGAGCGAAAGTTTCGTAGATGTATACAGGTAGATTCAGACAAAAGTAATATATAAATCATAATTTTTTTGTTTTTGGTTTGTGCTTTTATATAATTAAAAATGATAAAACTTGATAACGTAATAATGATACGTACTTGTATGTGCCCAACAGAATCTATAATCGAACCTTCCTTAATCCGTTTGATGAAGGCGTAGCCAGCTCCATTGTCCGTAATCGTGAGACCGAGAGCATCTTCGTGTTTTATAATCTCTATTTCTTTAGGTCGCCCTTTCCTATGTGCAAATATGAAGTCGTTTAAGCCGATTTGACTGCCTAGCAACTTAAGCATATCCACTTTGTGCGTGTTCAGCGTGCAGAACAATATCTTAAAGGAAAAATCACATTAAATGAATTACTAGTACAATAATTGTAGTGGGTACATGAATGTATTATATTTTGAGATCAAATAAGTGGTCGAGAACTTGCTTTTAATATCACAATAGTCGTTACTGAATTGCATTGCCAATTAAAATCATATTATGCTGATAATAAGTTAAATCACTTCTACACACGTAAGCATATGCTAAGAACGAGAACAGATAATCTCATATATGTATTATGTATAATCATATCTTATAACTACATTTTGTTCATTGTCATAACTCGACTTTTTTTTTATTTATATGTAAATTACAATCTGTCTCCAAATGGATGCTTAAAAGGCTACCCAGTAGTGAACCTTTTAGTTATGATATGTAACAATTATGGCAAAATATTTATAAATATAGATACTAAAACCTATTGTAAGTCTAAACATGCATAAATAATATATGACTATAAATACATATGCATATAAATAATTCCTACATAAACTAACTTTACTTATTCTGTTAATTCGAGTAATGATTGTCGTTTTAATCTGTTGTCTTTTAATCTGTTTAATCTGATTATATGTGGTATTGTACAGTTTGTTTGCTAAGACGTTGGGGTGACTGCTTATTTTTGTTTTATAGTTTTGTGCTATTTTGATAATTCGACTTTAAACAATTTTACATAATAATAGAACATGATAGAATAGAACATTTAACAAATATTGGATCTAATTTTTTAATTTAATTACCCATATTATATTATGTTGCTTATATTTAAGTTTTAATTTAATGACTCATATTATACTTAATTAACCAGTTAACTATTATTAAGGAATATACTAGTCATGGAGAAGTGGCATTCAGAGGTATATTCGTCATACGTTTAAAACAGTGTCCATTTATTTTTTTAATTTCCCGATGGAGAAGTTTGTTTTCATCAAAAAATCCGGTTCGCTAATTTTATGTTTTCTTGACATTTCAAGCCGTCCTGAATCGAATAAGACCAAATTTGGAAAAAGTATGTGTGTGCAGAACAATATCTGAAATGTGTGTTGTGTCTGTGTGTGCGTATGTGTGTATGTGAACTTTTTTTTTCCGTAAATCGACGTTTTCTCAAAACCGGCTAGACCGATTTCAAAAATTTAAAAGCCATTCGATGCATCTCGTTGAGGACTAGCGTTTATCAATTTTGCGCGACATATGCCAAACCGTTTCTTTGTAATTTGAAAGAAAAATGTTAAACTTTTCGTCCACATTCAAACTCAACTATTCGAAAGATATTAGTTGGGAATGATACTGATTATTTTTAGGTGAAAATCTACTTAGCCGTTTTCTTGTAATTAACTGTTGAAAAAAAATTAAGCCGATTTTTATGGAACTTTTTTGGCGATATATATCATGGTCTTACAGAACTTACTGAAATAACTTACGGCCTTACGACAAGTAGTTTAATTTAAAAAAAAAATTATCAAAGTTTGAGAAAATGAGTAGTTTTTTTTGACGTTTGTTAAAATTAAAATTACAGGATTTACTTGGTATAACGATAGAGTACTTGGTCTTAATAAACATACTAAACCATTAAAGTCCTACGGAAACTGGTTCAATTATAAGAATTATTGATTTTTGAAAATTTGCTTTCAGAAAATACTCCGAGTTAACGTGTTCGTTCGTTCGTTTGGAATGATGTGTAATAAATCCACTCGGAATACTTTTAATTATTCATAAATTAATTTATTTTTTATTAATTAAGTCGATTATTTAAACATATCGGGAAGTTCATGTAACTTGCCCCAAGGCAAAATACCAATACCAACTATTTTTTTTTTTTTTTTTTTTTAGAAAAATTCTGAAATGTCAAATTGTTAAGAGTATTCTGATTATGAGGTCAATTTAGAATTTAATTCAAATCAGTCAATTTAGAATATTAAGAATATCCTAAATTGACTATATAAAATAAGTAGTTGCATCGCAACTTCTCTATGATTGACGTATATACTCGTCATGAGCTCTATTCGGATGACAATAGTGTGCGCATATTTCTATGTGAGCGCCACAGTTAACTGGTTAAGCAATATTATCTTATTGCATGAAAAATTAAATATTAATATTTTAAAAATTTAAATATTCATTTCTAATTTACGATACTTTACATCAATCGAAGTTAATCATGAAGTTCTATGGCTTTGACATTCATGCTCTCTCGGTGGCATTTATAATATGCCATGTCCTTTTGGGAAACAAATTTGTATTCAAACTATCGCAATACTATGAATTGCATTTTGGTCGTTTACTAATGTAGTGGCATTTAATCAAACTTATTGCAAAGTATTATTGTACAAGAAATGGATGTTTTCCATCTGTAAATTATGACTCATTGCTTCACTGATTGTGAGAAAATTTGCCAAATGTGAATTCGTTGATAATAATAATTTTATGGGATGTAATTCGGTATAATGTAACAACGATGAAAATTAAAAATGATTTAATCTTACTATATATACAGGCAAAGATGTTGAACGTTGGTATTATTGACTTACAAAAAGAAAGTACTCTTTAATTGATTTGTTCTTTATTTGATTTCGTGGAGATCTATGATGCGTTTTTTTTTAAATATATCACATAGTTAGTAGTAATACATTACTCACAAAGGTGTAGTTAAATTACAATACTACAATTTATACATTGGTTATAATCAGAGCTGCAAATACTTAAATGAATAAATTTTCTTTTATAATACATTAATTACAATCATATGAACATTAAACTTCAGAAATCAGCCAGCTTTAAACACTACATGACATACGTGTATGTTGCCTCTCCTTTCACAGAGTTTACCATTAGATAATAAAACATGCATTTTATGGTACTTCATAAATGTAATCTTTAGCAAAGAGTATACCATATTCATGGAATCATGTAACATACTGTTTTTAGTGTTACACGGGTGTGATTTCAAAAAAAATGTTCAAAAAAGAGGTCAAGTCCTTAATTGTTGCTCTATCTTTAGTGTTTCGAGTCAAATTGAAAATGCATAGTACATTAGTGTCTTATAAATTTCCTTATGGTAAGTTATAGGAATCGTCCAAATTTGGAAATGAATTTTTTTGCATATTTTTACTTATTACTCATCCTTTGAGAAAATGAATGTGTATGTGTATGTGTATATGTGCATGTAGTTATGTATGTATGTGCGTATGTATGTATGGTTACAATTTTTGTCGAAGTTTTCGGAAGCAGCGATTAACCGATTTGAATGATTTAAAGAGCATTCTATTGATAAGGAGACATGCTGATTAGTTTTTGGCAAAAGTTGGTCCAGCTGTTTCGGAGAAAAGAGCGCAAAAAGAACGGAGCTTCCGATTTGAGTGATTCAAAAAAAGTTCCACTTGTATTGACGTATTGAAAAATTCATTAAGTTTTTGCAAAGTAGGTCAAGCGTTTTTGGAGATCTAGAATTTTTTTTTTAAAAAAATTCGATTTGACGGTCGAAAATCAAATATTTTCTAATTTGAATCAACCGGTATAAATGGCTATCAAAAACTTACGAGAAATTTCAAAATTTACAAAAAAAAATTTTAAAAATAGTTTTCAAAAATTATCAGTATTTTCAGAAAAGTCATTTTATTATTTTTAAATTTTTCCAATTTATTCAGAATGTTCAAAAAATTCAGAATTTAAAAAAAAAATTATATTTCTTTTCTGAGCTTTTAAATTTTTTTTATTACGGTACGGGAAGTTCCACCAATTTGCCTTAAGGCCCGATGCCATGCACCACTAGTTTCTTTACAAACTAGTTTACAAGACCTTTTAGAATGCAATCCAACAGTTGGCTTATCTCTATTTGATTAATTTTACTATTAGAACTTTTCTAATAGATAATTTTGTACTATCTAATGCAGCAATTCTGGGGAAGGGAAAGGCTTGTATTTCACTTGGAAATATATTGACATCTTTCATAAAATATAAGCCGATTTTTTTTTAAATAGAGCTTTGAAATCTTGACTTGACGGTTGTCACAATAAAAAATAATAAGTCAGTGGTTGTAATTGACTTGCAGGTATTTTAGTATTTACTTCGATTTATAGCAATATTTTTTACGTCATGAATTTATATCAATAGCAGAACGAATATATAAACATAATTTTGCCTATTTTTAGTATGAATTTCAAAACTTGCAAATATCTACTAAAATTTTTCAATATTTTCTTACTGAATAATTAATTATAATTGTTAATAATTAATAATGAATTTGACAAAATAATGCCAAAATTAAATATATTGAAAATTTTAAGAATGCTTCAAATGACTCACATATACATTGCAGAAATACTTACTACAAATTATTAAATATAGACAGAGAAATGCTTCTGCATGAATCACACATTATGTAAATGAATGTTAATAATTACGCTAGTAACATTGCACCACATGCTCACAATTTGTATCTTTACATTAGAAAGTATATTGATTAAAGTAGCTCTTTACTATTATATTATAAGTAGAGCTATAAATTCATAACAACTGCTTAAGCACATATACATATATATTTATATAAATATATATTTTTTGCAAAAGTCTAATAAGTTACAACATTATTGCAAAAGCTTATAGTAGGAATATCCTAAGTTACACTTTGAAGAAGTAAGCAAATAAAGAGTTGTTCTAAATTGCGATGAAAAAATGAGTACTAAGTGCCCTTCTTCAGAGATAATCGAAGCTGTTTTTTTTTACCCCATAGGGGGCAAACAGGTACAATGTTTTATTTTTAATTTTAAAGGGATTTTACGAAGTAATAGCTACATTATTCAACCAATGCAAAATATAAATTTCATGTATGCATTTTTTACATGGATAACACTGTGTATTACCTCGATCTTGTATTTCGTCATTCATCAGCAGAGTTGGAATAACTATTTATTTAATTTATATTTTGGAAAATTGCCTATTTTAACTTGATTTACTTTTTTATATACTATTTTACATTTGTTACACCTTTTTCGAGGTAAACGTTTAG